AATACTAAACTAATCATTTATCATTTATACTTAGCAATTTTAATAGCGTAGTTAAAATTTGTCATTCTTTCTATTATATAATTTTTATACTTTTACTGTATTTTAAATGAAATATAGTTTTCACTTCTACATGAGAACAAAATATTAATTAATCAATCATATCAATATATATATTATTAGAATGCATTATATTATATGTATAATATGTAATATATTTTTATAAAATAATTTGCTGCCTTCTCGAATTGACAGTCCAGAATTCTAAAGCGCCGCCAGATGGCGCTGGCGGCGGCGGCGGCGCTTCCAATAAGCGCAACGCTCCGTCTTGCTAGTTCATAGTCGAAGCCTGATTGATATTCTTCGTATCGGAGAACGCGTATTATCTTTTGCCTCCTGGTGAACCGATACGGGCTCTCGTTATCGCGACTTCGCATCGAGGTTCTACGACGGATCATCGAAAAACTGTTCGACTTTTTGGCCCCGAGATTCCACGCCACGAGATCATCAACATGAGTAATGTGCCAACAGGTGAGATCATCGACTCTCGCCATCGGATCCTTCGATCCGATCGAGAAATGCGTTTTTATATTATTTATAAGAAAACGGAATAAATCAATTGTCGAGAGTGACGAGGATTTATCGAACGCGAGCGAATTTAAAAGGGGTCGATCGGATTCTAACCTATAATTATATGCGCTGTTTGACTTTTCCAGCGACCTTGTGAACTTCCGTAAGTCGTCTGTTTACGTGTACATATGTGTGCGTGACCGGCAATTCCGACAGCAAAATTCTGCGCAAATCATATGGCCGTGATATCGATTTAAAACTACACTTTAGTATTTTAATTTGACACTTGTTTATATTCTCGAGAGACCAAAGGTTTTATTATATTCAAGATTTTAATATCTTATTTTTTTTTTTTTTTCAAACTTTTGGTACTTAATTTTTAAACGCATATGTTAATGACATATATAACTATATATAATAGCTATTGTGTAAAATTATTATAACAATTTTTACGTTTTTTTTTTTTTTTTTCACTTAGAAAGAGAAAATAGTATAAATATATATATAAGTATAGCTAAATTGTGTAAAATTATTATAACAATTTTTACGTTTTTTTTTTTTTTTTTTCAACTTAGAAAAGAGAAAATAGAGTATAAATATATGTGATATATGCATAGATTGCATTTATGATGCGGGTACAGCTGCATTAATTAAGGTCGATTTGCTGCATTTACTATTGTTGATTGACTCTTCTTTGGATAGAATTTCATCGCAACACATTGATTTTTTAACATACATTGTTTTTCATTATTTTTCTTCACATATTCTAAATTATTTTTTAATTTTATATTTTTTTCTATATTTTAATATCGATTTTTAGAAATTTACATATATGTATGAAGAAAAATTGAGATAAGATACTGATTGTGAGTCATTAAAGATAAGAAACAAATTTGAAAAATAATTCTTCGAAATCAAGATAATAATTATTAATTAAGAAAATAAATATATATTAAGCAAGAGAACAATCTTCAATCAAAGATGGTTTTCTTTTATTTGTTCCAGTTTATCGTAAACACTCGTTAGAAGGAATTTTGTTCTGTCTTCATCCGATATTCGCGTCGATGTTATCTCCTCGCAAAAAAAAAAAAAAAAAAAATACATTAACCCTTGGAAAGATTAAAAATGCAACAACCGTCTTTATTGCTAAACACACACACACGTCGCTAAGCACAGACGAGAATCCGCTGTTGGGTCGAATCGATAAACCGGTTTTCTCTCAAGGTTCTCAGTGCGAGAAGTTTTAGAAACTTTTATTATATTAGACGTCTTTGTATGCCACGTTCTCTTCCGCGCTTTCATAATAATCGATCGCGAAAATAAGAGACAATGCACTCACTTTTTGCCATGACACTATCTTATTTGGCCCAATTCAAACCAATTAGAACACTGAATCGTAACTAGTTAACTCTTCTGCACTGAAAAAAAAAATTTTAAATAAGTATTTATATTTTTTTAATGCTGTCAAATAAATTATTTATATAAAATTAATAATATTTATTTGTTTTAAATAAATTATTTATTAGGCAGTATTGAAATAAATATTTATTAATTTAATAATTTTTTTCAGTGTGTCAATGCAAATTTTTTCATCTTTTAATACCTGGATATCAATTGCATGTTTTCGATATATTGCACAGTGATAATTTTTTTATCAAACATTCTTTCATTATATTTGATGAGATTTTCAAATACAAAAGTTGTAGTTTTTGTTTCGAGAAAAATTCCCTGAAACACATTTTTAACATTTATCTTTTTATTTTACAATTAAATAAAAACGTACAATCAATAATAATATGAAATAATAATGCGGAAATAAAATCTTTATGTAACAAAATAAAATCTAATTTTATATTACATTATTATTAAGTAACTAATTATTTTTTGTATAATAGATTATTATTTAAATTTTACATTATATCATTATTATTTAATTGTTTTTGAACACTGAAGAAAATTTATGGAATTTTGAATAAATATTTATTTCAATACTGCCTTATAAATAATTAATTTGAAATTAATAATAATATTGATTTGATGTGAAAAAATATTTGTTTGATATAAGAAAATCTTTTTCAGAACAGATAATTATTTGTTTCAAATAAATGATTTATAATTTATGAGATAGTATTGAAATGAATATTTATTAATTTCATAATTTTCTTATTGTAATAAAATAGAATAAAATTTAATTTTACATTAGATTTTATTATTATTTTACATTAGATAATTATTATTCAATTATTTTTTTGTATCAGTTGCTTCTTCCATTTATCGATACAAGAATTAAATTAAACATAACAAGTATATCAAGAATAATATTGCTTAGAGAATAATTCTCGATAAAGTCGGTCGAGTTCAGAGAGTTGCGTTGGTAGAAATTAACGAGGATTTCCTAATTAGTGCTAATTAAAAAAATCCGTTCGCTACAATTGCGCTCCAAATATAATAAAAATTGCCGAGAAAATCAATTATCTGATGAAAGAATCGAACGCAAAAATATCGATCGTCACATATAAAAAAATCAATAACTGAAATAAAGTATCTCAAAATTTGTGTTTACGCGATATGGGACCCGTTTAGAAGCCGCTACTGGGAGCCTTTCCTTCTTCTGAAGAACCGACTTGAACCGAGGCCACTTGTCGATCCCTCTTACTTCTTCCCCTTCTTTCTTCCATTTTCCATTAAAGCAGAGTGAGGACTCGCGTCTTGATTTCTCCGAAACATTTGTCCTCGCGTTCGCGTCGTTCTTTGACAGATAACAGCTGTTTACAGCCGTGAGTGCGCACGTGGTCGCTTTTCGGGGATTCGTCTCGCGAATTCGCGGATTTAACAAAGTAATATCTAATTGTTAAATCCGCGAATGTGTTAGATCCGGGAATCAATTCCGGAAAGAACGAACCTTCGAAATTGTCGTTCCTAGTGATTTTACTCGATTTTTTTAGTGATTTTCGGTGAAACGTGAGTGTCTATTAATTGTGATCTCTTAATCATGAATGCGGAATTTAATTGCGCCGAATTTCTCGATTCACAGATTTCCGTGTCGAGATTTCTCTAATTTTTTAATTCTTTAATTACCGTGAATTCTGTGTAATAGTGTAGTCCTCGAACGTGATACAACATTTTGTTGTGATTGCATGCGTATATGCAAAGTACAAAGTGCAAAATCATATATGCGAAATTAAAATTATAGACAATTTTTGCTTTATTTATAAAATGTACAATGTATATTTGAGACAAGATAATGGAGCAAAATTTTACAGAATTTTAAAAAATTTTGGAGCAACTTTCTAATTAAAATTGTAGACAATTTTCAATTTATTTATCAAATGTATGAGTATATTTGAAGCAATAGAGCAAAATTTAGAAGAATTTTTAAAAAATATTTTGGAGCAACTTGGTAGTTAAAATTGTAGACAATTTTCAATTTATTTATAAAATGTATAAATATATTTAAAGCAAGACAACAGAGCAAAATTTAGAAGAATTTTAAACAAAATATTTTGGGGCAACTTGCTAATTAAAATTGTAGACAATTTTCAATTTATTTATAAAATGTATAAGTATATTTGAATAAGCAAGAGATAATAAAGCAAAATTTTGAAGAATTTTAAAGAAGTATTTTAGAGCAATTTGACGTGCTAGTAAGGATGGGATCAAGTTTAATGTGTACTTAAAAATCCGAATCTAATAATCAAATTTAATTTTCTACGATTTAAATAATATTTATAAAAAGAGTATTTTATATAAATTGTCCTTGCAAATCTAGAACGCTGTATTTGAATTTTAGCTTGAGCATAAAATTTGAAACAATAATTATAAATATATATTTTTCTACGGAAAGAATCGAATCTTTTACAAATAATACTCGAACTACAAGATAAAAAATATCTACTTATATTTGCTATATATTTACATATGTAACATTTTTTATAATTACTGAAAAAATTTTGATGCAGAAAATACAATTTTTTTCCTCCGAAGTAATTATAAAGAGAAATCATGCAAATTAAAACCTACTTAATCTCATCATCGTTACTTGCTAACAAGATCTGTTAAAGAAAAGAATAAATTGCAAATTATCGTAATATTTAATCTATATTTATTAAATCTACATTTATTATATTATTCTTAGAACTTTCAACATGATTATCTTCGGAGACTTTCAATATATCTTTTGAATTATTTTTGGATCAAAATCTCGAAGTGCAATTTTTGAATCTATATATTTTTAAATTCATCAATTATTATCTATTTATTTTGAAGCTTTCAACAAACTTTCGTACACTGAAAAAAAAAATTATTTAATTATTCAAATAGCCTTTTATAATACACTATTTATTTGAAACTAATAATATTGATTTGTCATGAAAAAAATATTGTTTCTAATAAATGTGTAAATAAAACTATTTAAATACATAGTTCCTTGTATCGAGTATTATATCTCTACATTTTAAATAAAGTAAAAAGGTTTGATCGCCAGTAAAAATAAAAACCAAGATTAGATAGTATTAAATCGACCAACTGGCTAAGGATGTTATATTTTTTAATTAATTTTCAATATCATATTTTTTATTTGTCAGCTACGTTTCGACCACAGTATTGGCCCTTCATCAGGCTACAATAGATAAATCACAAGACTAAAGTTATATAAAAATTGTGACAGATTCAAAAAACAATGTTGAATAAACTAACATTAAATTTATATTCTACGCGGATATAAATTTAATTAATTTTACATAAGGTTTCGACGAACTTTCTGCCAAGTATTCCTCGGGATCAAGCTTTTGGAGCAGAATTTCGGGACGAAAAACTCTTCGTGAATCTTCCGAGGAATCATGCGAGGCAACATGGCGAGCCCCAAGCAATCCGCGAACACGAGAAGCAACGAAGGACACAGGAGGGTCTGTCAAGAACACGCCGAAGAGGACTGTCCGAGCGAGAACGAGCGCGAGTTCGAGTCGCTGGAATACGAGGAGGACGTTTATTACTCGAAGCTGACGACGACGCCGAGCTTCGACGACATCGACGAGCTCGATGACGATGAGGTGGACGAACTGGTGATCCACTGCTGGCGCGATTCGAACGGCGAGATCGACGAGATTGTCGTCGACGACGGCAACCTGGAGGCGGAACTTCCGCCGGAAGCGGGCTCGCACGACGGAAGAGCCAAGAAGAAGAAGAGGAGATCGATCCGCGTGATCTTCCAGGACCTCTCGAAGCCCTACCTCGCCAAGATTAGCAACAGTCAGAACTACAAGAGGTTCCTGGAGCTGGTAAAAGGTGCTCGGAGAAGAGATGAGAGATTGCTTTAGCAGCATCTCATGATTTCCGATAAAGAGAGCTCGTTATAGACTTCGCTCAAAGGCTTTTCGTGAAGATTAGGACGATTGTCGATAATTTGATAGGCTGTTTCTCGACAAAATCTTTGGCGGATTGTGGAATTAATTTCTTGAATATCGAGCGAATGAATTTCGGCTAGTCGAGATTATAGAGTAGATAAATAATCGAATATTTTAATAGATAAAAGATAATAATGGAATTATTTGTTTAATTAATCGAGAAAATTATTGCGCTCAATAAGATTATATGTGTGTTCTTAGAAATATTATTTGATCAAATTACTGAACATTGTTATTAATATAAATTTGAATTCATCAAGACATTACATTATCAAAGATATTTTATATCAGAAAGATTTTTGTTCATCGATCTTAAAATCTAATCAATTTTTTACACTGATTTTTGGCTTTTTTATGACTCTAGATTTTCTGAATTTATGGAATTTTTTTAAAATACATTCGCGGATTTTCAAATTTACGAAATATTTCTTATTATAATCTTTTATTGTGAAAAATTAGCGGTTTTTATGTTGCTTTCCAGTTGCTTCTCGATATCGAGTTATTTCCTTACGTGTGAAAATGTACAAAAAAAGAGTTCGCTAGAATCGTGATCGAGCAAAGCATGCTTTCAATTTTTCTCGAATGACGTTTCGCTCTGTTGAAACTGCGAAACTCTGCGCATTTTTTCTCAATCTGACGAAACACAGTCGTGTTTATTCGGAATTTAAGCAATCGTTTCCTGATCGAAAAATTATGATCGATCAAGTTCCAATTTTTGCCATTTTGTATTAAAAATGAAAGAAATAATATGGAATATTAAACATTAAATTAAAGTTAATACAAAAATTATTTATTCAATCTAAACAGAGGAAAAACATTTGAAATATTATAACATAATTTTTAATTATTATTTAGATAAAAAAATTTTTTTTTTTTTTTTCAATTTAGATTAATATTTAATTTAATAAAAAGAATATTTAATTTGAGAAGTTTTAATTTAAAAAATATCGTAAAAAGAGAAAAAAATATAATCTACATTGCTCTAAAAATATCTGAAGAGCGCTCTCTTGTACAAATTACTTGGAGCTGCTCGACTTTTTTTTATATGTACTTATAACTGGTTTTATGACGTTCAACAACCTCAGCAACTATCTTAGCCTAGATCGATGAGTTAGTTAGATTTAATACTGATGAATTAGATAGATTGAAAGACCAATAAGTTTATAGTATAAGTTATTTATATCTTTTTTATGAGATAATATATTCTATTTAATATTACTCAATCTTAATTTTAAATTTTAATTCGATTTTTATTTTTTAATTTAATTGTAAAATTATTTTTATATACAAATATAAATAAATAAAATAAAAATAAAAAGAGAAATATATATATTTAAACATAGATAATAAATTATTTATTTGTGATAAACAACTTGTTGTCAAGAAAATTATACTTCCGACCAGTCAGCATATCTTAGTGTCGTATAACTGTGGCTAATGTTTCTGTTTTCTTTTGTCCAAGGAGAAGACGCCTCGCTTCACTCGGCTGGATCTCTATCGCCCTCGGATAGTGTAACAAACGAGCTTCAAGGACTCACCTTGGAGGAGCAAGAAGAACGTAAAGCTGAATGGAGCGCTCAATTAGCTAAAGTAAGTCTCGGAAAATCGACAATCTTGAAGACGAGGAATAACATAGTTTGATTTTAGGTCGAAGAGGAAATACAGACTTTGAGACACGTCCTCGCTAACAAGATCAAGGTTTCGCAGGATCTGAAGAGGAAGCTGGGTATCAGCGTTTGGAAAGAGCTCACCGACGATGTTAATCAGGGTCTCAAAAATGTCAAGGAAAGCCACGTGTATGTGTGTTATAAGTTACTCGCTTCTTTTGCATCTCTCTTATCTATGTACATTTTATATATACACTCTGTACGCTTTGTCATATTTTCTATGTAAAGGGGAAGTGGATGAAACATCGTGGCAGGCTTGCGAAATATCTTCAAATTCGTTGCACGAAATATTTTATCGACGAAAAATGCACGAAGTATGTTTTTCAATTTTCTCTTTGCTAATTTCTATCTTTATGTTCACCTCTGCTCTCTATTTTTCGTCTCTTTTACGGGCTGATACTCCACTTCTTCTGTTCTTCTGTTCTCCATACATAGAAGTATTGACTTTTATTTTACTTTCGGTTGGGTTTCTCATTCAGTTATCAGAATGTCGGCGAGACACTCGGTCGTATAACCAGGACAGTCTCCGGGAACAATTTGTAAGTACATAATCATCTCATTTTCTCTGGGTGATGACTCAAATCTTATTCCTCTATCGATCTGTGTTCTGCATGCTAGCGATAGATGTTTGTACATAGGACACGCTTTAAAATTTCTTAAATCAAATAAAACACATTATTGTCAAAGTTTGATTGTTTTGGAGACCTCTTGTGTTCTTGTCGATATTTTAATTTAATAATTTGATAATTTGAAGTGTGTGTCGACGAGTATCGCCAACGTAATACAAGCTATCATTATCAAATCACATTTTGCTTGAAACAAAAACCAAATTTAATTAACATAATTATTGTTTTTGTAGTGGATGATTTATGATTGTAGCACTATTACGATGTTTTTACTGGTTTGCTGATGAATCTTTCTTTTCTTTTGTCAAATCAGATACCAAAAAACAGAATCTGTACTCAAGTCCACAGCTGAAAAGACAACCAGTATCCTGGGTGGATTTGGTAGTGGCATTTCCATGAAACTAGGCCAGATGCGCAATTCCGACAGCTTCCGGTCCTTAGAGGAGAGAGTTGGATCCGCTTGCGAGAACATTAAGGTACTAAAATTAAATTAAATTAATTAAAAAAGTAGTACCAAATTTAATTTTTTTGAATTAAATAATTTATAATTAAATTAGGTAAATGCAATATGTCTTTGATATTTTTAATCTTTCTTATCAAAGTCTTCTTAATTAAATTAATTAATTAATATATATCAAATAAATAAATAAGTAAAATTATGCATTATAAAATGAACGATATATACCGGGTGTCCCGTACACCCCTTTTCTTTCACATAGTTGCATATAGTTGCAAAAAACACATAGTTTCTTATAAAAAAAAGTATGCAACTGCAAGTTGAATATTGCATATTCTTTTTAAAACAATTATCTGTTTTCTTTATACCAAGTGATTGATCTTATAATAATGTGCAGAAAAGTATAAAGGCATGATTATCGAAAATTGAATATTTTACAAGATATTTTACATTTTATGTCAAAAAATTTTTTGACAAAATGTAAAATATCTTGTAAAAATATATATATATATATATATATATATATATATACTATATAAAGAAATAATTTATTATACACATTAAAGATGTGTAGTTTACAAAAATTTAATCAAATTATCGAGTTTTTATTTAGAAATTTCAATTTTTTTCTCCTTTGCAGACGAAAGTTGTGCCTTCGAGATCCACCTCGACGCAGAGCTTCGACGAGGCTCTCCGGGAATCCGAAGCAATGAGGCGTGCATCTGCGGCTCCGTCGGTCACCAGCCCGACCATTCCTGAGGACAAACTGCTCTCTTAGAGCCCAACATTGCCCGAAGCTCGTGCGTCTTCACCGCACGATATAAAGTGCTGATTATGCACTATATCACTATTGCATTCGTCTACTGCAATCGCTATAGAGGGCCAAACGGCGATGTATCCGTGCACGTCGAATGAATCGATAACTTCGTTGACTTTGATAGCTTCGGAATCAAGACACTTCGGGTACAATCGTTCAAGTACTATCTTAACTCTATATCTAATAAAAAAAATATATATTTTTCTTGCACGCCCTTTCCACGCCTTTTCCTTCGCAGGATTGCCTTTTTCTAGGCCATATTCAGGACATCTTTAGACGTAGCGGAAAACGTCTCTTGTAATTTTTATATCTATATTCTATATTAAAAGAAGAAAAGAAAAAACAATATTTCTAAACAATGACATGTATAGAATTTCTTTTGACAATTATTTTTGATTTGTAATTATAATAAAAAAATTTATGCTCGAATTGTGGAGCTGATTATTGATATATGCGCCGCAAAAAAATATAATTTTAAACATTAAAGTTGGTAGTAATACACAATTTTGTAAAGAAGAGAAATACTGCAATAGTTTCCGATTATTTTCACTTTAGCACCATTTACCATTTTTAATTGTTTTTTCTTTTGATGTAACTATTTAATGATATATTTATATATATATATATATATATATATATACATATATAAATATATACATATATGAATAGAAATTAATTACATGGGTAAAAAATTTGCACTTACTTTGCATATACTTGTAATTTTTGGCATTCGAAATTTTATCATACATTATCGGTGTCCTGAATCGATCTGACAGAGCTGCCAAAAAAAAAAAAATTATTTTCAACGATTTATGATAAATAACCCGTCCGTCGACAATACTTTACACATCGTGTATACAAAACTTCTTACTTATGTATGCAAACTTGATTAGCGCAAGCCTTTCAAAACATGTACAATCTGTCATAAGACAAATTGAAGTCTCGAGGAACATATGAATTTTTCTCTATTTTTTATGTATTTAATATATATAAATAATTTAAATAAAAATGATGAAAAATTATCTCTCGAATTAGTTATCTCGAATGAAATATTATCTGTTGATGAAAAATGATATAAATTTCAAGCGAATAAAGCTTATATAGACAAGTCAAGTACAATCGCGATAATACGATAAAAGAATTTTCTACGCACTGAGAATTATTGTAATTTTTATAACGTAGAAATATTATTAAATTGTAGATAAGAGATCATTAAAATATGAAAATTTCGTCTGAAAATATAAAACTCGTTTTTAAGAGATAATATTAGATAACTGAAATTGAAGAACAGTTCCTCGTGATTCTCAGTCTTATTGTTAGATAAATATGACTTAAGTGCGCGAATCTCATTAAATTAGCACGAAATTCGAGAGATATTTTGTATTTTAGCTTAATGAAAGAACTATCGACGACGCACGGTGCGTCTGTTTTTGTTAGAAAAGGCGTAAAATTTTACAAAATAAACCCGTATGTGTACATGCGATATGTGATGATTAATCAAAGATTGATTGCCGTGATTCGTCGATAATATTTGCTGCATAATCTTCTTGTTCATAAATAAATTATTTTACGAAACGCCAATAATCATAATAAGTCTCTTGAAAACCAAAAAAGGATACAAAATTCTTCTTTCCTCTCCTTTTCTTTTCTATATATATATATATATTTACTTTAATATAATTATAGGAATTAAATGCACACATACCATGGATAATATCTCAAATATTTCACACTTTGAACAACGAGAAAGATTATGCAGTAATCTTTCTGTACTTGAATATTCAGAAAGTGGAAATTAAAGAATTAATTAGTTTGAATTTTATTTTTATTGCATGATAATATATATTATATATATATTATAATATATATAATATATATTATATAACATTATTTCTAGCATTAAAAATTATATAGATATAAATTATTTATTTACATTTAATTATTTAAATAAATGATTAGATATAAATTATTTATTTAAATTTAATTAAATTATTTATTATTTCGATTATTTGTATTTCTAATATTGACACAATTTTGACAATCAATAATTATCATGCCATTATTAGCGATCGACGTGCTTATTTACTCGCGTTTAAATTTCCCGCCATTTCCAGGTGGCGCCACCTCAGTCGGCCATTGCGCTTTGGCGCTCACGCATTTACGTCGCGCCGTCGATCGCTGCTTCGTATTTATTATTTATAGATATAAAAAGTGTCTAGAAACGAACGTAAGTAATTATCGCAAACTCTAAAGTTGTAATCTTAGTTTATACTATATCGTCGAATGTGCGCGCGTGAAATAAAATTGAATATTTTAGATTTTCTTCCAACGAGGATCGAAGATGAAAAAAGAAGCAAAAAATCGCCCATTACTCATTTAGCGCCAACGCGTTCGCGTTTTTTCCCCTCGTATTTATAGTCATAAAAAGTGTCTAAGAATGAATGTAAGTCGTTATCGCGTACTCTATAAAGTTGTAGTCTTAGTTTATATTATTATTGAGTGAATATGAAACGGAAATTCGCGATATCTTTGATTTTCTTCCAGCGAGGATCAGCGAAGAAGAAGAAAATACAAAAGTACGTATATATATGATATTAACGAGCACATTTATTCACCATTATCCTAATTAGCGTGTACAAACATATAATCAGATCCTTTTTTCTGTTTCCAGCGAAGAAATGTTTTCCGGAAATCAGATCCTCGCAGAAGGAAGCGGCACAAAAGGAATCCGCACCAGGAATCCAGGAACAGGAAATCCTGTTGACATAGCCGGCACCGGTGAGTGTATATGTTTTTATTTAGCCTATTATCATGCTTTATTATTGTTGAGATCATTCATTGTTCGAGGAATGTAACAATAAAATTGCAAACTTCAACCTAAAAATTATATATAATATTATCTATTGTCTATTGAATTATATCGGTGATAAAATATAGTGTCCCAAAAATATGCAACAAAAAAAAATTGATTTTTTAATTAGATAAAAAATTGTATTTATAATATATATGTAATTTATTATATAACTATCTGTTCATGAAAAATTTTAATTAAAGAAAATATATCGAAAATGTATTATAATCGCAAACGACAGATCTTTCAATTGAAAACAAATTTATAATTTTTAATATACAGATTTTATTATTTAATATATGTATATATATTGCATTTTTTTATGTAATGATATTTAATTATATGTATATATGTAATTATTTTAATAATTTAATCAATATTGTTTCTTTTTAATAACGAAGATTATTCAGTATAAAAGACATATATAGGATATCTAAAAAATATTCAGCGATATTTTTCAATAGATAAAATTTCAAAACAATTACGGATATAATCGATTAAATAGCAGGCATTTCAAGTGTCTCTCTCTTTTTTTATAAAAAAGCATATAAACCTTTATTAAAACTAAGTACAAAAATAATAGGTACATTTTCTTCGTCGTCTTGTCTAAATCTCTAAATTATGCCAGCTGGTTTGCGCCATCCAAAATTATTTCAATCATTATACACTCGTGAGCAATAGCGAAGAGTATCCTAAAGATGATCATGTAGGATATATTTTCCTGTGTCATATGAAAGGCTGTTCTGATATAATATATTTTCGCCATTTCTCTCAAAAACGTTACGTGACAAACTAACAGAAACCTCTGGATCTCGCGTCAATATTAATTAATTAATTAATTTATGATCGATCAATAAGTTTGAAGAATCTGAGAAAAGCGAGCGAATTCCTTACTTCAACACGATTGTACGCAGCATCTCATTTAATGACGATAACGTCATTTTTCGTTTCGGTGAAATCTTCGGCGAGTTCGGAGCCGATTTTCCAACGAAAGCGTGTGAAAGTTTCGTTGAAATAAACCTCCTTCGCAACATATCAATACATATACATGCATAATTAAATAATCTCGTTGACTCGATAAATTAGTCGAAAATTTTCATATATTACACGCATATATTGCACTTAGCAATTTATTATTCTTTGATCAAAAAATCATCCTCGTATCGTAGAGATCGTTCGACGATCTTCGCGATTGCTGAAATTAGGAGAGAAACTTGAACGATCATTTTATTACTAGAGCATAAAAAACGCACAACTTGGAAGAGGAAAGGGAACCTTACAAAGTTTTAAAAAACACAAACAGCTCTTATACGCAGGTCCTTAAAAAAAATACAGGGAAGGAGAGAGCGATATACAACTGTCGACATCGACGTTGCTGACGTATGAAAATACGTCGCTAATACATATACATATACATATATATATATAAAATCATATATATTTGCGTATATCTGTACGTATATAGAAACATTGTATTATATTTATATTTATATATATATATATATTACGACTTCGTTAACAACATAAAATGTAATTATTCACATAACACAATAATCCGTGATATAATATAATATATCATTATAACGATCTGCTTTTTTTGTACTGGATAGGCCGACGCGCATATTTTTATATACAGGATGTTCGCACAATGTACGGAAAAGTATCTCAACGATAGATTCTTCAAAGTTTTCAAATCGATTTTTCTAGGCGAATAAAATATTATATTATATATTCATCAAATAAGCTTCAGAAGTATGAAACAGCAATAAAAAAATATTATTTATAATATAAATAATTTTATTAATAACATTTTCTTTTTCTTTTTATGTTATAATTGCTTTGGATCTTTATTAAGCTTAAATGTAATTTATAATATAATTACATACTTATATAGCCAATTTTCGTCTCACATGTCTTTATTTTATTTTATCGAACAAACGATTCAGCAAAAGATTAGAATGGCAAACTTGAAAAATCGTTTGTAATTAAAAATATTAGAGTTTGTATTATAATTGGTTTTTTTTTTTTTTTAAATTAAAATTTTTCCAAGTTTAAAATAATTTTTTATTGCTCGTTTCACATGGCCTCGTAATATTTAGTAAGTTATCATTGTGTTTGAAAAATCGATTTTATTATCAAAGATAATGTTCGAAATATTTTTCGTTAGTATATTCGGTCACCCTGTATAATACATAATATATCTCATCAACTTTTCTGCGAGAGTACAAAGATTTGCATTCCTCGCACGCGTCCGGAACTAAACGGAACTGTTCGAGTCTCTAGCTTTGATGATCGATCGGGAGGAAGAAATCGAACAGCCACGTGTAGCTATATATAAAACGCGTCGAAATATTCTATACATCTTTTCTTCGCGCGGCCCTCGACCGCTTTGAGTATTATTGCATCGCATATTGTTTAAAAGAAGGAAAAGAAAGTAAGAAAGTAGAGAATTTCTACATTTACATTCTCGTTACCATGGTAACCTCGGGATTCGGATTCGTATCCTTATAATAAAGGCTCAGAGACAGCCGCCACGATTTATTCCTAGGATTAGCTTTACGTACGTACATTCACGCTA